GCACGCCATATTTTTTAGTTTTATGTTGCACAGAATTTCCGTGACGTTTACAATCATGTTTGTCCCAGCATATCAGGTCAGTTTCGCATACCTTACAAATTATTATAGCACCATTGTAGAATAAATCTGGGAATTCACTGATAAATATATTCACTTTGTCGGCGTATGGCCGTTTCTTACTCTTGGGCAGGTTTGACATACTTTATTATTAAACTAATATCAAGAGTAAAATACAAAAAATAAAATTATCAACAACACAACGAAGACAAATTAATTACGTTATTGACACCTCGACGCATAACAGTAGACTAAAATAGTAAACAAGTCTCGCTTACGTACTTGGGTATTTCTCTGCCTGGCACCGACCATGATTTGCACATCGAAATGCCAACTCTACTCATATACTCTCTATTATAATTAAATTACAGCCTCGAAACGCCACAAACAAATTAAAAGGGTTTAAGAATATGCGATTTAGATACATAAGTGTGTTAGTGTTACATTCACCAATACTTTCGGCCCTCTTTGCATTAACTTTGGACACTGGATGTTATCGAACTCGCCAAAATAACCACAAGGTAAGATATTGTGTCATATACGCATGAATATAATTGTTTACCCGATAACATATCACCTAGTGCCAACCCTGGAAATGACGTAATTTATCGTCACCTCCTGATTTCTAGTAATTGAGAGTGGTTCAATCGTTTAAAATTTTTTGTTGTTTGTTGTGTTCTTGATTTACGAAAAAAGTTGTAGTTGCATTTTTTATTCACTTACAATTATTCTTTTGTTTTAGGAATTAGGGGAAAAATTCGGATTAAAAGTTTAATCTGATTGTGAAGGGAACACAACAGCTTTGCTCAAGTATTCCTAAATATTTTATCATTTTTAATGTGTATTTTTTTGATTAATCAAGAGAGCACACAAAAGACAATAAGATTTGGAAACAATTGAACCACACAGCTTCGTTCTGTACAATATCGCCGTTAACTTAATTTTTTTTTTTTAAATATAAAATTGTTTGAATTATTTCTATTTTTTAAGTTTTTTGATCATATCTCAGAAAGTAGGTCAACGTTTTAAAATTTGTTTTCATCATATAGCTCATAATAAATGAAATAAATTTAACTAGAACATTTTTCGTCCAGCATGGATATTAAGTGAGATATCTGACGTGGACATAATAAAACAGACAGCCTGCATATACTATTTCCACTACTTCCAAAGTTAATATTATCTTTAAAAAAATCCAGGTATTTGAAAGATACGTGGTAAGATCCTGTATGTATATCTGGAAATAATTTAAAATTCTTCAGTCAACTTTGGTGAAATGCTTGTATAGTACCGAGTGTTTTGGTGTTCAATGAATTACAAGATTAACAAAATCAGACTGATTTATAGGTAATACTTCCTCTTCAACTGAATGTATCTTAAGTTGTCTCTGTTACGTGCCCATGATTTATGAAACTAGGAAGGTACAAATATTTGTCTTCAGTTTACTGAACCATCAGATATGCTTTCTTTGAAAAGCCGTAAACAATTATTAATTAATAAGTGATGAACACAAAAGAATATTAGGACATAGTTTTATTGTATTTATATTGACCCTGTCACATCTGAGAAATAAACCTACTGACAGCTTATAGGTCAAAGCAATAATATGTTGAAAAGGAAAATAAAATTATTTATTTATTTTATGCTTTAAAAAATTAAATTCCAGTTCACAGGAAGCTTTGATGAGAAAGAGTCTATAAATAAATACTTATTTTATTTCCTCCCTTAAAATGTCCTGCTTATACTTTATATTAAAGAAAATGTTAGATTAAGGATTTCGAAATTGTATAGTAATAAAGCTTAAGCATTATATAAACCCGCGCGATTATCTCAAGGCTCTCAAGTTGAAGAAATCCAGTTGACACTAATTCCTCCATTTCAAAAAAGTTTTTAGTCTAGAAACAATGGACAGCTGTTACATTTCCTTTATGCGTGGCAGATATCTTTCAAAAACAGTCTAGTATATTTAAAATAATCCAGATTATACACGAATCGCTTGACGTAGTGCTTAAACTTCCAAAACACAAGTCGTATTACTCACAAAGCTGCAGAAGTTAAAAAGCTCAAAGAGAAACTTCAAAGCTTCTTTAACCCGAACGTTTGAAACAAGTGTTTGTACGAGATCAATTTTCGGAATACAGGTGAAAGGAACGCCGTCCTGAAACTCTGTAATGGAAGGTAATATATCCATTACAGGGTGAATTAATTTATACATATAGCACCGACGAAATCTTCTGTCGGCCAATATTTACGTAGTCCTAATCAAACAATGGTTTCTTCGGCTTAAAGCCACAAAATAACTAAAAGTAAAAGAGAAGTGAAATTGTATATTTGAACATGTTCCTAATTAAATGATTTTCAGGATTCTGAAATATTTATATCGACAATTTAAAAATTTGATGCAAATATTGAGAACTTATAAAATGTAAAACTAGTTGGAGTTTTTTAATAAAATAATAACAATAATAATAATATATCTATAGAAAAATAAGTGAATGCAGTTTTCGACTCAAAATGCTCCTTTTCTACAGATCCACATAAAATCGAACGATAATGTCAGTCGTCATTTGTAATTATTTTTTTTATTTTCAAAAGGTAAATAAATGGCAACTGAAATTGTCACAAAACATTTTGAATTGTTTATCATCATATAAAAATTTAAGTAATAATTGCTCCAACTTTCAAATGATAAACAATGGACAATAATAATTATTGCCCATTAGAGAAAATAAATTAAAGTCAAATTTATGATAAATATTTCATATGAAACAACTTATAATTATAAATTATAATATAATAATAATAATAACAAAAAGTTTTTATTGGCATATAAAATTACAGATTATAGAAAGAAAAAAATACCAAAAAGCAGAGTTTGTAACAAGTTCCATTCTGACACTTAAACTCGAAATTAATACAAATATCATTTGCAACAAAGACAAATTAACCTAAGTATGGTAACCTATAGGGCACCTATAAAGGGTTAAAAGAAAAGAATTCACGTAAATAATGAATTTCGGATACTACAATAGCATATCAGGGGATCATGAGAAATATATCTTATTCATGCACTTTGAGTTGAATGTTGAGGTTCATCTAAAATTTCAACAATTTGATTTGTAAAATTATGAGGCTTATTGTTTTAAACTGTTACAAAAATGGCTTTATTGCTATCTACACTTTTAAAACTCATAACTTCTAACTCATTATTTGAATCAACTTCCAATTGGATAATAGAAACATATCAAAGGATTGTTTGATCTCCTTTACCCCTTTTAAAACAATCAACGCAAAAGTCTCCTTCTTTCAATCTTTATTTTTTACGAAGAAATATGACTGTTAAATCTTCTGGTACAAAATTACTATCTCTTGACGATACTGTTAATTAGAACTTCTCTAGTATACCTTCTAGATTAAGACAGACAAATAGGTCATCTAAATAACTTTAACAAATTAACGAATTATTCAAATTTTGAGGCAATGAGCACTAATTTTTAAAAGCTACATAATAATATGGAAAAAACTTGATCATAAACTTTTTTATTGTTTGCTCTTTTTTTGGTATATTCCAGTGTTATTATCTACCATAGAAAATATTAGTGACAGCCGAATTCTGGTTTGTCAATAAATTTGAATTTTATTTCCGTGTATCACACTTACCCCGAATTCACAGTTACCCCCCATTGACCCTACGTATAACACATATATGCACACACAGTAATGTGTACCTACAAAAATACTTGCAAAAATATGAGTAAAACAAAATTGAAGAAAAATAATGCAACAGATCAATAATTACAAAAAGGATGAAAAAATAAATAAATATAATAATAATAATAACACCTGCCTATACGAAGCTTTGCACCCTAATAACATTACCTTTGACTCTCGAAAGAAATATAATAATACCACAAAACTCCTATTATTATATATTAATTTTAGTTTACCAAAAGCATTTTTTTACAATGTGTAATGTGTTCAGAAAATTTAAAGGACGTTTATCCGAACCTTTATCGCTTCAACACTTCAACAGCTATACACCCTAATAACATTACTTTTGACTTGAGATGGTTTACAATCAAACGAACTTTATCTGAATTAGAAATTAAAGTCTGCAAATCTTGATTTACTCACATAGATACATCCTAACAATCTGTTTTCTCAAAAGAATAATAAATTTGGGTATCGTCTGCATAAGAATGACTACAACAATGCTACAAACTATTCTTAAAGTTGAAGTATATAATGTAATCAACAATGGTACCCATATAGAACCTTGTGGTCCCGTCGAGTTAAGAAGGCAGATACATTTTTACCAATTTCAACGGTTTGTTGCCTGTTTACTAGTATTATTTTTAAACAACAATACTGCATTTCCATCAAATCTCAAGTAATGTAACATCGCCAGGAGAAAGCCATCGTTGATTCTGTCGAAAGCCTTGGAATAATCAAGTACGACAAGGATGGTTAAATTATCACTTTCCAACAGAACATCATCCATGACCTTAAGTAGGGCTGTTGCACAACTGTGATTTTCTTTGAAACTAGAAAACTAGATTGGGTTTGAGGTAACAGTTCCGAGTTTTTAAGGCTGATTCCAGTCTGAGAAATCAAAATTTTGTTCATAAATTTAGAGCGCACCGGTAGCATACGCCGAAGGTTTTTAAATTCTTTATGATTATTAATTTTTAGTAATGTGTGTGCTAACTTCGAACTGGTAGGAAACACACTAGTTTGAATACAGAAATTTATTATATGGTTAAGTAAGGCAAAGTGGTAGACCAAAAATTGAATTAAAATACCACACAGATAATACAACCCCTCATATCCCTGAAGGCACATCAAGGTACCTTGTGCAGGAGAGGGCTACACATTTAGAGACAATGGACACACACCGAATATCAAAGTATGCCAGGATTAATTTCCGGTCTTTAAAAAAATCCTAGCTTCTCGACCAGGGATTGAACCCGGGACTCCTGGGTGAGAGGCAGGTATCCTTACTACACGACCAAGAAGCCATATAAATAATAAATAAGCACATGGGTGCCGCTAGAGAATTTTCCAAGAAGGGGTAAAAACAGTGCTTATTGCACAATAAGCACGTTTTATGAAATTTTTCATTGAAATACATAAAAAATAAAAAAAAGAATTAAAAAAATAATTATGCACATCGATCTATGTTAATAAAACTAAAATAAACTTCAACAAAGAAAAGCAGTCAACGTGCTTCTTATTCACACTATATTGACAGTTGACATAAATACCTGTAATATTAGCTTAGCCATTTTCCATAAACTAAATATTCTAGATATTAATATAGGCCCAGGACTGGATGGTGTCGCTCTACTATTGTTAAAAGAGTGTAGGTTTTTTAAACTAATATTATCAACTATAGACCTATAAGTGTTCTTAAGGGGCCTAGTCGGGAAAAAGCTTCGAATAGCTGTGTCACTCTCTAGAAAGTTTTTATACATGCGCCGCTGAATAATTTTGCTCTTGACTATACCTTCACTGGACGTTTTATTCACCGACTTCATTGAGGTGCGATTCCCGATAGAGGTAACACTTCCTTGCTCCATTTGTAGTGACAAAGATACTTATTTAGAAAATTCATTTTAACCAAATAATACGGAATAGAAGTTTGAAACTTGCTGAGCATAATTGAAGCCCTTGGTGCAAAAAGGTATTAACAATTATGAAGATTCATTCTAGAAGACATGTATGAATTTTACCTCGAATCACGTTCAAATTTCACTTATATTTACAGTATAAATTTTCCCTACATAAAGTGAAAATTAATAATTAAAATAGATATACACGTACGCTCTAGTATACTTTCAACTACTGATCCCTCAAATTTGGTGTAATTTGACCAAACCGTATGGAAGAAATACATTTTGAAAAATTACCTTACAAACACTGGTTTGATTAGCCCTCTTAATGCCATACCAAAAATTTTTTAAAACATTATATGTAATGACATTAAAGAGAGTATCACACAGGTTTTAATAGAGAAACAGCATGGTTTTTGCAAAGGTCGATCTACAAGCACCAATTTAATGATTTTTGCCCAGTACGTATTGGATGCTTTGGAGAATCACTACCAAGTTGACACAGTCTACATTGATTTCTCCGAAGCATTTGATACCGTAGATCATATAGGCTTTGTAAAAAATTAAATGTTTGGGTTTCACGGGAATCTATTCAACTGGCTAACTAGCTATATTAGTGGCACAACACAAATTGTGAAAATTTAAATCTCTGTTTCTAATGAAATATTTGTGACATCGGAAGTACCACAGGGGAGTCACCTGAGTCCATTTTTTTTTAATATATTTATCAATAACATAAAGGAAGTTTCAATTTCCCTTATTTGCAGATGGCCTTAAGATATTTACCACTATAAATTCAAAAGCAGATTGCTATAAGATACAGTTGGACTTAAGTGCTCTCTCTGAATGGTGTTCTCAAAACCAATTAGAGCTTAACATAAGAAAATGCAAAACTATGACATTCCACAGGACTCAAAATGTAATAAAATATCAATATAATATGATTGGTAGTTTATTAGAGCCCGTTACCTCTATGAAAGATCTGGGCGGAACATTGGATAGCACACTAGACTTCAATTTGCATTATGAAGTGATAATCAATAAAGCTCAGAAAATGTTTTGATTTATGTGATTTTGTTGGCGTCTCAGCAATAAAGTGTTTATACAATTCACTTGTAACATCCGTATTAGAATATACATCTGTAGTTTGGTCACCCACATATAAATCTCACATATATATCATTGAAAAAGTACAAAACAAATTCTTAAGATATGCAGCCTATAAACTAAAGCTACCATCGGAATAGACAAACTAAGTACCCGTCACTATTATGCAGACCAGATCATTCTATTTAAAATTATCCACTCTGATGTAAATTGCTCAGATCTGCTGTCAAGATTTGGTCAATTTGTTCCTCCTAGATAAACTAGGAATCCAAACCTTTGCTCAAACATATCATAGACTGTGGCAAACACTCCCCTGTAACAAGAATTACTCATGGTGTTAATAGAATCAACATAGGCTTTTTAACAATTATTTGTTAAGCTTCAAGCATAAACTTAGACTATAAAACCTTTGAGCTTCTACTTAATAAGTGTCAAATTTACTTATGTTATAAGAGAATGAGCGTTTAAAATAACCGGTGAAGTGAATTGGAGGTGTCATTGTATGCTCATATCTGATGTTAATATTATGCACGCCAGTGCGAAACCTTATTTTATTGTACAAATACGAAGTATTTGTACAATAAATACAGTGTGTATCTCTGTTCTGCATATTTATTCAGTTATTTAATTTTGAAGTTTCTGAATTCGGTTAGCATCAATACTGCTTAGGAATGGGCTATACATCACATCATAATAATTCATTTGTGATAACACCAGAGTCACAAAGTGATGATTTTGTGCCCTTATACAAGACATCTATTTTGGTATATAAATTTAAAAAGTGTATGATTTTTGAAGACAGATGCTAACATGACTTAAAAACCTCATATCAGTATCTATATACAGACCAAGATTTTTTATCTTGCCTTGAAACTTAACTGTATATTATCAATACACTCAGAAAAATTGTCCAAAAATTTTCTATTATTTTTTCCAAATATCATTGCTGTTGTCTTAGCAGCATTTAATTTTAAACAATGATTTCATATAAATATACACCAACATCCTTCGCTACAAAAAAAAATAAATTGAAAAAAAAACCATCGGAGGACTCGTTGTGAATTGTAACCCGAATGAGAGATTCATTCTTTATGTGACTAAACTTTTAAAACACTATGAATTGGACAATTTAACCCACTTTATTTTAGTGTTAATTAGGATGAGGTAGTTGTTTTAGTAGATACAACAATATGCGTTATAAAGTGTTGATTAATTACTTTTACCTAACATTTGTGTAGCATGATCAGAAGAGAACGTCAATATGCATTTTATAAACTTTACCTTATATTGAACATTAAAACTATGGAAATTTTTTATGCTAAATACCTAAATAATAATTTACAAATTGCAATAAATAATAGAAATAATACCAAAATAAGGTACAAAGTCGTAAACCTCTCACTACACCCAACTGAATATTAGTGAAGTTGCCACAAACGCTTCTTGGTGATTTATAAATTTATATCACACAAAGAGAAGTGATTAAGCTATAATTGCGATTGCCCACTAGTAAACGACTTTTACCAAATAAATGAATATCCTTCTTGAGGCCGCAGTGTATGCTATTAGCAGACCGGTTTCTGGTTTTCACCTTCTTCAGTGCGAAGTAGGTATATGCCACGGCAACAATGAGGATTTTAGAATAACAATTCTCTACGTGAAACTCGAGCACCAATAAGTCGATGATAATACATTGCGGCCTCAAGAATTTTAAGTTTTGTGATACCTTTATTACCTAAATAATGCTGACGTAGTTTTTCATGAAACACCAAAATACCATACAGGCAACTGCATTTTATAGTTTTAATCATCTCCAGATGATGCCAATTTGGTTGGCAAAACACATATCTAGTGCAGTATATGGTGTTCCGTGGAAAAGTACGTCGTTATTTTCTCATCAAAAGTTCCAACCCACTTCAGGATTACGATGGCTTTACGGTCAACGGAACTGAATCTGTATCAAAACGCTAGTGCTTAGATTTGATTAATAGGGTCAGATATTTGGTTTCTAAAAACTTACAAACGTCGTTCAATTTTTTTCAAATATTGTTCAAGTTAAAATTCCAAATCCTTCACACATTTAAGACAAAGTTAATGTTCGTAAAGCCGAAATGGCTGGATTTAGAAATTAAATGTCTGTATAGTAAACGAAGTACACTTGAATTATAAGCATATGGACTTTACAAAAAGCCTACTTATAAGTTAAATAATTTAGAACATAAACAATGGCGTGCCTTTAAGAGGAATATGTTTTTATCAATTAATGCGATATTTGTTAAGAAAATATCGTCGTTGACAAGGGATTAAATGTTGTTTTACGTGCCTCTGAAGGCATTTTAAATGAGATTGTTGCTAGTGTTGAAATTTCAATTTAATACCTTCCTCTAAAGGATTTTTCAGAGAAGCTTGCAGAAATCAAATATCGACAAATATTGTCACTGAAGTAAACAGAAAGTCAAAATCCACAAAGGACAGAAATATTATCAAATGGTTGCGTGAAAAAGATTGTTTTTACTTAAAAGCTGATAAGGGCAATAAGGTTGTTATTTTAAAGAGTACTATTATGAAATAGTAGACAATCTGATTAGTAATAGTCCTTATAAAAAACTTTCTAGAAATCCATTACCAAAAATGATTACTGAAGTAAGAAATGTACCTTAATCCTGCAACAACCTTATTATTCCAGCTTTAAATAGGAGGTTACATGTATCTAACCCAAATGTACCTAGACTGTTCTGCTTGCCCAAGATACATAAACTAATAAGGTTGGTACGTCCTATTGTTTCAGCAGTCGGATCGCCGACTTACCACCTATCAAAATGGTTAACAGAGAAGTTCGAAAATTTATCTATTGGACCACCCAGTTTCTATATTTCCAATTATTTCATTAATAAGGTGAAAATTATTCAGTTGCAAGAAGGTGAAACTTTGATCTCCTTTGATGTTTATTCATTGTTTTCAAGTGTTCAATACCACACACATTGGACTAATTTAAGAATCTACTCAAATTAAATTATCTCAATCAGGATGTAGTAAAAGTATATCTACAACTCACTAAACTTTGCATCAAACAAAATTGCTTTCGATTCAACAATAATTTCCTCGAACAATATGAAGGAACAACAATGGGAAACTCTTTGTCAAAATTCATTGCCAGTCTCTTCATGAACAGATTCGAGACATAAATAAAAGAAGAATTCGAGTATTTCCCCAGGTTTCGGCTTAGGTGCGTGGATGATGTCTTTGCAGTGTTTGATACAATAGCAGGTGATATTGACAGCTTTGTTTCTAAATTAAAC